GTTATGTCTTCTCTTTGACTCATTAAAGCAGCTGTGTATTATTTTTCCTTTTTTTTTTTTCTTTCCATTTTTTTTTTTTGCAATATCCATATACTATTGCAAGCCTTTGGACTCCACGCTTACATGGTTGCTGCACGTCCAGCTTCCGGGAAGAGAAGTGACTGCGCATTCAACACACGAAAAATATAAAGAAGCAGTTTCTATATAACATCTGCACAACTCAAAAAATATCCAGCTGCTTTAATGTTTTAAAAAGATGCTTTCTGTGCACAACTGTGCATTGCAAAGCTTTATTTTTTTTTTCAACCCAATTACTTGGACCTACCTACATTTGTTCTGGCCCTTGATCATAATGAGATTTGTGGTGGCCGTTATCTATATTTTTCATTATTTTATTTGGAAGCATAGTCGCAAGGGGACAATTGCACGGCTTCACAGAATTAACTAGGCCGTTGCTAATAGTAGAAGAGCTGCATTGTTTCTCCTTTACTATGCATATTAAGTAGATTCTCTTGGGTGCCATTTGCGGTCATGAGGCTTTTTTCTTTGAAGGTTAGACGTCTCACCACAAAACATGGGGCGAGCAACAATCAGGCTGACAGATACAACTCATCTTATTTCCATGGTAAAAGGAAAAAAGCTTTTAAGGTAAAGGTAAACGTTCCCCTTGCACATATGTGCTAGTCGTTCCTGACTCTAGGGGGCGGTGCTCATCTCCATTTCAAAGCCGAAGAGCCAGCGCTGTCCGAAGACGTCTCCGTGGTCATGTGGCCAGCATGACTAAATGCCAAAGGCGCACAGAACGCTGTTACCTTCCCACCAAAGGTGGTCCCTACTTTTCTACTTGCATTTTTTACCTGCTTTCGAACTGCTAGGTTGGCAGAAGCTGGAACAAGTAACGGGAGCTCACCCCATTACATGGCACTAGGGATTCGAACCGCTGAACTCCCGACTTTTTCTATCGACAAGCTCAGCGTCTTAGCCACTGAGCCACCGAGTCCCTAAGGCTTTTAAGGTCCTCTAAATCAGGAGTCTCCAACCTTGGCAACATAAGGCTTGTGGACTTCAACTCCCAGAGTTCCTCAGACAGCAAAGCTAAGGAACTCAGAGAGTTAAAGTCCACAAGCCTTAAAGTTACTAAGGTTGGAGACCCCTGCTCTAAATAATTCTATTATTCTGCTTTCATTTCCAAGATGGTTGGTTGTACACTTAACCATCTTTGTTATTCTTAAGCACAAGTGGCATTTTCCCTTAAGTTCCCTGAGATACTGTTTAATTAAGGGGCAGTAAAACAGCATTTCTTCTATTCCCATGAATGCATTTCTCTATTTTTCTTTTGACAAGAAGGAATAGATGGAAGGTTATCAAAGAGAGATCCAAGCTAAAAATGAAGGAGAAATTTTCTAAAAGTGAGAACAATTAACTCGCAGAACAGCTTGCCTCCGGAAGTTGTGGGTGCTCCAACACGGGAGGTTTTGAAGAACAGATGGGACAACCATTCATGTGAAATAATTAAGGGTCTCCTGCTTGAGCAGGGAGTGGACTAGAAGACCTCCAAGGTCCCTTCCAACTCTGTTACTCTGTGATTCTGTTTAATTGATGTGATTCTGTTCCGATGCACTCATGTCAATCAAACAATGGCATTTGATTCAGGGGTGGGTTCTAACCGGCTTTACTACCGGTTCTCTTTGTGTACGCGCTTTGCGCGCGATCGCCGCGCGCATGCTCGGTTCGCTCGCAGGTACACCAAATGAGCGCTTCACGCAAGCGCGTTGCAAATCTGCCCCCCTGAGGTGCGGCAATCCGCTCTGCCGCAACTCTCAGCTGGGCGAAAACAGCAGAAATATAAGGTCAGAATAACGCAGGGGCGGGCGGGAAGGCCCAGCTCCCGAAGAAAGAGAACCGGTTCGGTGACGTAATAGCATCACCGCTACCGGCTCGCGCAAACCGGGAGGAACCCACCACTGATTTGATTGCACCCTGATCGATTTCCACTGAACGCACGGAGGGGGGGGGGAACCACTTTTCTCTACATTGCCATCCTTTGAAATAATGTTTTTTCTTTCTTTGAAATGGTATCGGAAAGAAATGTGGGCTGCGACATGGTGCATTTTATCCCTCATGCTACATTATACTCCATGCTTTCAGGAACATGCAAAGAGGAACATCTGCGTCTCCGGCCTCTGCCAAAAGCAGTTAGCCAAACCCAAAATTGCTCGAGTGGAGCCCAGCCAAGAGAGGGAAAAAAAGAGAGAGAGAGAAAAAAAGAAAGGATCAATGGGGTTTTTTTTCCTTAATGAGAAGCAGGAAAATGATATGTCCTTTTCGAATACTGCCCATTCTGAGCGCAGCCTGGGCACTGGGGCCAGCCCCTTTCGTCCGTCAAAGGTTGCACAAATATTTCTCTGGCTGGGCCATCAAAACACTGCATAAATACAAAACAGCAGCGTAATTGGGTAATCCCCGTTTATAGTTATTTGTTGTAGGTTGATCTTGTCCGTCTTCTAAGGAGCTTTTCAAAACGAAAAGCTATTTGTTAAGAGTTAGCTATCAATAATGGGGCCCTTGGTACTTTCTGAGCTTGGTTTTGTTTTGGGGGGGTTTTTTGGCAGATGTATCATGGAGGAGGAAGAGGAGGAGGAAGAGGAAGGGGGAGAGGGAGGTGGAGGAGGAGGGGAGGAAGAGGGGAGGAGAAAGAGGAGGAGGGGAGAGGGAGGGGGTGGGGAAGAAGAGGAGGAGGAGGAGGGGAGGAAGAGGAGGGAAGGAAGAGGAGGAGGGGAGAGGGAGGAGGGGAGGAGGAGGTGGGGAAGAAGTGGAGAAGAGAAGGGGAATAAGAGGAGGAGGACGGGAAGAAGAAGAGGAGAAGGAGGGGAAGAAGAGGAGGAGGAGAAAGAGGAGAGGAGGAGAGAGGGAAGAGGAGGAGGAAGAGGAGGAGGGGGGAGAGGGAGGGGGAGGAGGGGGAAAGAAAAGTAGGAGGAGGAGAGGAGGAAGAGGAGGAAGAAGGGAAGAAGAAGAGGGGGAGGAGGGGAAGAAAGAGAAGGAGGAGAAGGGGAAGAAGAGGAGAAGGAGGGGAAGAAGAGGAGGAGGAGAAAGAGGAGGAGGGGAAGAGGAGGAGGAAGAGGAGGAGGGGAGAGGGAGGGGGAGGAGGGGGAAAGGATAGGAGGAGGAGAGGAGGAAGAGGAGGGGAGGAAGCGGAGGAGGAGAGGAAGAAGAAGAGGAGGAGGAGGAGGAGAAAGAGGAGGAGGGGAAGAGGAGGAGGAAGAGGAGGAGGAGGAGAGGGAGGGGGAGGAGGGGGAAGAGGAGGAGGGGAGGAGGAGGAGGAGGGGAGAGGAAGGAGGGAAGGAGGAGGAGGAGGGGGAGGACAAGAATAACAACAACGACTATGGAGTCCTTGGTGCTCTCTAAGCTTGGTTGTTGTTTTCTTGCAGACGTTTCATTACCCAACCAGATAACATCATCAGGGCTTGAAAGGAGTGGCATTCACTCTCTTTTTATAGACTAGTAGATTATTATTACTTATTAGTTACGTTGAAAGGGGGAACTATCTTGCCGGATTTTATTAAAAAGAACTGGGAAAAAAAACCCTATTTTATCCTTAACAATACTTTTTTCCAACCAAATGAGTTTACACCGTGTCCTCTCTCCTTTTATTATTTGAGGTACAGGTAAAACTATCTACAGGTAGTCCTCGTTTTATGGTTGTAACTGAGCCCAAAATTATGCTACTAAGTCATTGCAGGTTGTAAGTCAAGGCATCATGTGACCAGATGTAACATTTTTTTTTGCAGTGGTCATTAAGCGAAAACCTTGGCACATAGATTGAAGTCATGGCACCTGGACATCTTTTCTTTTTGGTTTGAAACGTTTGGCTGAAGAAGCTACTCAGAGGAGCAGTGAAGCTTTTCAAACCAAAAAAGAAAAGAAAAAAGAAGTCCAGTTATCAGGACTTCAACTTTCAAACTTTTAACTAGTTGAAAATCTTCCCCAATGTATTTCAGCATTGCTGTAGAGACTGTCCTTCAGTCTTACAACCACAATGGAGCCCAAAATTTATGTTGCTAAGCGAGACAGTGGTTAAGTGAGTTTTGCCCTATTTTAGGACCTTCCTTGCCATGGTTGTTAAGTGAATCACTGCGGTTGTTAAATTAATAACACGTTGTTAAGTGAATCTGGCTTCCCCATTGACTTTATTTGTCAGATGGCCGCAAAAGGAGATCACATGACCCCAGGACACTGCAACCGTCATAAATATGAACCAGTGGCCAAGCGTCCGAATTTTGATCACATGACCATGGGGATGTTGTACTGGTCGTAACTGTGAAAAAGGGTCATAAGTCATCTTTTTCAGTGCCATTGTAACTTCGGATGGTCACTAAATGAATGGGCTATTTGTCTATGGTGATTCTCAGTCATCCAGGTCATATTTGTCCCAAAGGTCCTTTTTCGAGAGGCAACTAGACTTCCTTTGTTTTTCCTTGAAGACATGTTGCTTCTCATCCAAGAAGCTTTTTCAGTTCTGTAGAACTGAAGAAGCTTCTGAAAATGTGAAGCAAAACCTCTTCAAGGAAAAACAAAGAAAATCCAGTTGCCCCTTGAAAAAAACGCTTTTGGATCAAGGACTACCTGTAATGGGACCCAACTGTTCTCTCTCTCTCTCTCTCTGCAGGAATGGCTTTTATGGATGTCAAGGCTGTATTTCATTGTGATAGACACTACAGCAGCTAAACACATTACATGCATAAAAAAATGATTCCAACACAATAAAAAATCAGATTATTGCAGAAGTGCTCCTGGCCATATCTAAGGCTGCACAGTGTGAAGACTTATCTTCAGTGCCTCTAAAAATAAAAATAAAAATTAAGCAGATCCAGGAGAGCAAGCCATTCAGGGGGGGAAATGAAATCAGCAGGAAGTGATCAAGAGCATCTCTGAACATGGCATGAAAAGATTCCACAGGAAGCATATGAGAAGCTCAGAACAAAATTTTCCTATATCCTAACCTAGGTGAGTATTGGGGTGATCCTTTGGCTGAATACTTCTTATGCCGGGGAGTTGAAGAGGGTGGGGGACCCACAATCATATCTATCCTGGCAAAAATAAATAAGAAAAAGAAACACACCAACAAAACACACAATGAAGCAACATGTCGGAGAAAGAATTGAGTTGGGAACTTTTGAAATCGTGAAACGAAAGGAGGAGATTATCTCTACTCGGAAATTTTTTTTTTTAAAAAACGAATATCCAAACAATCTGATCATTTAGGATGGTTATTTAAAAGTGGTGGATTTTTTTCAGCGACAATGGAATAATCCTTCTTTGGGAAGGATCCAAAGGAACCCCTCGTGAAAGGATTCCTTGTTCAGCAATGAGCAGGCTAAGTATGAACTGACGAGTTGGGAAATGTATGAAAATATTCCATTGCAACAACAACAACAAAACCCACAACTTTGCACTCCTCTTCCCGATGAAGTACTCAAGGCCATTCACGGCGCGAAAAATGAAAACTCCATATTCCTGCAATCAATGGAAGCAGGGGTGAAATCCAGCAGGTTCTGACAGGTTCTGGAGAACCGGTAGCAGAAATTTTGAGCAGTTCGGAGAACCAGTAGTAGAAATTTTGAGCAGTTTGGAGAATCGGTAGTGGAAATTTTGAGTAGTTTGGAGAACCAGCAAATACCATCTCTGGCTGGCCCCCGAGTGGGGTGGGAATGGAGATTTTGCAATATCCTTCCCCCAGGAGTGGGGAGGGAATGGGGATTTTGCAGTATCCTTCCCCTGTAGTAGGGTGGGAATGGATATTTTATAGGGCAGTGTCCTTCCTCTGCCACCCCACCAAGCCACGCCCACAGAATCGGTAGTAAAAGAATTTGGATTTCACCACTGAATGGAAGGTACGTCAACCCGTTTGGAAAAAGGAAAAGCTCAAAGAAAGTCAATACACATATACAAGAAGGTGGAACAAGAGACAGGCATGACAAAACCCGCTTGCAAAAATAGTGAAAAAGGGGAGAAGGAGAACGCAGAAATGCTATACACTGTTGTAGAATTCAGCAGCTGAAATTAAAAGTTGGTTAAAAAGTTCAATGTTCTCTCAGCCCTAGGAAAATGGCCATGGCAAACCACTTCTGAAAAACCTTGCCAAGAAAACTGCAAGGATAATTGCCAGGAATCGTACACGATTGAAATGGATATATACTGTATCAAAAAAAAAAAAAAAAATTCCCTTCTTGTCCCTATGGGTGGTCTCGGGTCCTCTACCAGAGGCTTGAGAGTTGAAGGTTCTGCGCAAGATCTTAGCTTGAGCAGGGGGCTGGACTAGAAGACTTCCAAGGTCCCTTCCAACTCTGTTATTCTGTTATATCCCCACACATGCACACACAGAAATGTTGGATATTGAACACAACAGATAACAGGACAGTGGGGGTCTTTGGGGCATGTGGGAGCATCCAAAAAGTCAAAATGGTGTCTGTGACTGTCATCAAAGCTCCGCCCAGTTTTTATTTTTTTATTTTAATTTACTTATCGAATTCACGTAGCTGCCATCTGATGAGCAAATCGGTCTGGGCAGCGTTTTTATGCGCACTATTGATACAAAACATGTAAAATAAGAAGGTCAAGTTTTTGAACACTCACTCTTCATCTTGACTACTTTTACAAATGTCCCTACAAAGGTGAAAACTTTGAACTCCCCGCAGAATCAGAAACTACTACAGGTAGTTCTCGACTTACGACCACAATTCAGCCCCAAAATTTCTGCTGCTAAGCGATACAGTTTCCCACTTTGGCCCACTTTGCGACTTTTCTTGCCACACTTATTAAGTGAATCACTGCAGTTGTTAAGTTAGTAACACGGTCATTAAGTGAATCTGGCTTCCCCATTGACTTTGCTTGTCAGAAGATCGTAAAAGGGGATCATGTGACCCAGGGATACTGCCACCGTCATAAATATGAGCCAGTGACCAACTGTCTGACTTTTGATCACATAATCATGTTGATTACATGACTATGGGGATGCTGCAACAGTCGTAAGTGTGAAAAATGGTCATAACTCATTTTCAGTGGCGTTGTAAGTTTGAATGGACACTAAATGAATGGTCATAAGTCGAGGACTATCTGTACTTCCCAGGATATTGTCCAGATAGGAGAATAATTTACCCTGGCTGATATTCTTGCTTTTTCTTGTTTTACAAAAATATAAATGATATGCCAAATATAATTTCCATTTGTGCTGAAGTTTAGTTCTCACTTCCTGCATATACCCCAAAAGATATAGTAACTTTCAAGAACAGCCCAATGGAGACCAGAGGAGATGGTCAGGCCACATTCAAACAACCACTTTCACTCTTTCTGATATACTGATCATCTTAACGTCGTGTTTCCGAATACCAAACCCTACCTAGTTCAAATACAAGTAATAACCAATACCAGAAGCCACCAGAGATGAAAAAGGGAAGACTTGCCTGGACTGAAGATTTTTGATCCGGGAAAGCATGTCCAGATGTCCTGCTGAATACTGTTCAATGACGTCCATCACATCGTACGGCCGCAAGCTCTCTTTGAATTTTCGCTTGGAAACCAGGAACCGCATGATGCTAAAGCAGAGATACAGAGTGACAAGAAGAAAACTTCAATGGTTTATTCTTTCTAACTGTCCATCTGTGTCTGGATGATGTCACAAGGGAGAGACTGGAAATCTATTGCTTTAAACCAGTGTTTTCTTAATTTGGGCAATTTGAAGATGTATGGACTTCAACACCCAGAATTCCCCAACCAGCTGGGGAATTTTGGGAGTTGAAGTCCACACGTCTTCAAGTTGCCAAGGTTGAGAAATATTGCTTTAAACAATAATGCTATCAATACCTGATAAAGCTGTTAAAACATCAACCTTGCGGGGCAAGAAGTACACCCAAGAATACAGGTAGTCCTTGACTTACAATCATTCATTTAGTGACCATCTGAAGTTACAATAGCACTGAAAAAAGTGATTTATGAAAAAGTGTTTCTGACAGTTGCAATGTCCTGGGGTCAGGTGATCACCTTTTCTGACCTTCTGACAAGCAAAGTCAATGAGGAATGCAGATTCACTTTACAACTTTAATTCAACAACTGCAGTGTTTCACTTAACAACTGTGGCAAGCAAGGATGTGAAATGAGTCAAAAATCACTTAACAACTCTCTTGTTTAGCAACAGAAATTTTGGGCCCAATTGTGGTCGTAATTCGAGAACTACCTGTACACCAAATAGCACATTCTCTCTCTTATATTTCTTTCTAAGGCTTTATAAAGCAGTACTAACATGTAAAACATTGGTACCACTTTATAAAGCCTTAGTAAGGCCACTCCTGGAATATTGCATTCAGTTTTGGTCACCACATTACAAAAAAGATATTGAGACTTTGGAAAAAAGTGCAAAGAAGAGCGACTGGATTAAAGGACCGGAGATTAAAACATTTGAAGAAGGGTTTCGGGATTTGGGTTTGCCTCATCTAGAGAAAAGAAGGACTGTGGGGGGGCATGATATCAGTCTTCCGGTATTTGAGAGTTGCCACAAAGAGGAGTGGGTCAATTTATTTTTCAAAGCACCAAGGGCAGGACAAGAAACAATGGATGGAAACTAATCAGGGAGAGAAGCAATCTGGAATTAAGGAGAAATTTCCTAAAAGTAAGAACATTTTTTTTTTAATTTGATTTATATGCCGCCCTTCTCCGGAGACTCAGGGCGGCTTACAATGCGCTAAGCAATAGCCTTCATCCTTTTGTATATTTTATACAAAGTCAGTTTATTGCCCCCACAACTGGGTCCTCAATTTACCTACCTTAGAAAGGATGGAAGGCTGAGTCAACCTTGAGCCTGGCAAGATTGAAACTTACTTTAATTGCAGACAGCTGGTGTTAAATTACAGTGCTTAGTCTGCAGAGCTATAACAATTAACCAGTGAAACAGCTTGCCTCCAGAAATTGTGGGTGCTTCATCACTGGAGGTTTTTAAGAAGAGTCTGGACAGCCATTTGTCTGAATTGTGTCTCCTGCTTGAGCAGGGGGTTGGACTGGAAGACCTCAAAAATCTCTTCCGGCTCTATTCTGATATATTGATTTAAATTTTTCCTTCATTTGAGGCCAATACAGTCCCTTATAGATCCTGATTAATAGCAGTGGCCTTTTGAGCGCCACTTTTTGTTGTCACGGTTGAGTGGTGGGTTGCTACCGGTTCGCCCGGGATCGGGCAAACCCGTAGCGGCGGTGGCAGGAAGCTCCACCCACCTGCCCAGAAGCTTCTGTGCATGCGCAGAAGCATCACACGAGCGAGCGCGTGCACAAGCAAACCAGTAGCAAACTAAATTGAAACCCACTACTGTCACGTTGTGGACACACAACTTACCACACTGCCCGGATGCTGGCTTTAAGGCCTGGTGTAAGGTCTTCTGTCAAAAATTCACAGTTGCAGCTCTTGTTGTCAGGATCAGGCATGTCTTCTCCAGGGAGGCTTGCTTCTAGGTGGGAAGAAAGGCGTGAGAAGACAGATATTCAACAGGGAGAGCCTTAGGCTGGGGCAGAATGAACAGAAACACAAACTAGCAAGAAAAGCAGGCCATGAAGGAGATGATGGGGGGGGGGTGGAACATATTTACGCACTTTCTGCTGAAAGGTTCATCTGGAGAAGCACTTAGGTTTTTACTCACTGTATTTAATTATCCATTTTGTGGCTTTCCAGAGGTCTCTGGATGATTTCCAGGATTAAAAGGAAATTAAAAGGTGCAGTTTATGGCTGCAAAAATGCTACATTAAAATGAAAGGACTAAAGAGAGTTGCATTATCCTAACAAAAGCACACGTAACATTTCCCTGCGAAATCAGGAATAGAAAAAGGATATCTTGCTTAAAATGATGTTTTTGTTCCAGACAATACCTGCTTCTTAGATAACTTATGGCCCAGTTAAATAGTGGCAAAAGGATACATCTACATTTTGTGTGACAAGAAACATGAATTAATGATAAGGAGTTAGAAGATGCAAAGGAAAATGGAGGAATTGGGTTTGCCTGATTTGAAATTGCATTTTGCAGCTTGCTACAGGTAGTCCTCATTTTACAACCACAACTGAGTTTCTGTTGCTGAATAAGATATTTGTTCATTTTATCCCATTTTGCGACCTATCTTACCAGTTGTTAAGTGGATAGCAATAGCACTTAGACTTATATACCGCTTCACAGTGCTTTACAGCCCTCTCTAAGCAGTTTACAGAGTCAGCCTCTGGCCCCAAACAATCTGGGTCCTCCTTTTACCAACCTCGGAAGGATGGAAGGCTGAGTCAAAGTTGAGTGTGGTGAGATTCGAACTGTCAAATTGCAGGCAGCCGGCAGGCAGCAGAAGTAGCCTGCAGTACTGCATTCTAACCACTGCAGTTATTAAGTTAGTAACAAGGTTGTTAAGCAAATCTTTGCTTAACAACCCCTTTGACTTTGCTTGTCAGAAGGTCACAAAATGGGATCACCGGACCCCAAGGTACTGTAACCATCATAATAGCAATAGCATTTAGACTTATTTATCACTTTACAGCATTCTCTGGGCAGTTCACAATGTCAGCATCTTGCTTCCAACAATCTGGGTCCTCATTTTACCGACTGAGTCAACCTTGAGCTGGTGAGAATCGAACTCCAGGCTGCGAGCAGAGTTAGCCTGCAATACTGCATTCTAACCACTGTGTCACCAGGGCGCCGTAAGTATTGATTAAGATAGTGACAAAAAAAGATTGCAAATTGGGGCAAAATGTACCGGTAGTCCTCAACTTATGACCACAATTGAGCCCACTTCAGTTGTTAAATTACATTTTTTACAAATGTCCCTACAAAGGTGAAAACTTTGAACTCCCCCCAGAATCAGAAACTACTACAGGTAGTTCTCGACTTACGACCACAATTCAGCCCAAAATTTCTGCTGCTAAGCGAGACAGTTTCCCACTTTGCCACACTTTGTGACCTTTCTTGCCACACTTATTAAGTGAATCACTGCAGTTGTTAAGTTAGTAACACGGTTGTTAAGTGAATCTGATTTCCCCATTGGCTTTATTTGTCAGAAGGTCGCGAAAGGGGATCACCTAATTCCGGGACACTGCAACTGTCATAAATGTGAGTCTGTTGTGAAGGATATGAATGTAAATCATGTGGCCCTGGAGATGCTGCAATGGTGAAAAATGATCATCAGTCACTTTTTTTCTTTGACAATAATCTCAAATGGTCCCTAAAGGAACTGTTGTAAGTTGAGGACTACCTGTACCTTGCTTAGCAATGGAAATTTTCAGCCCAATTGTCTATTGGACTATCTGAAATTTGCTACTGTCTCCTCCTGCTAAAACCTCTCAAGACAAACACAGACCAAGTCTTGCATGGACCATCCTTCTGTTGTGGCCCGCCGGCAGCCAGCAGAGGTGGCAGCAGAGTCGGATAGTGAGGAGGTTGGAGAGGAATATGGGCCAGTCCTGGGGGCTGGGGAAAGCTCAGATGAGAGCTCTGCGTCGGAGGCAGAGGAGATAGACAGCAGTGAGGCAGAGGAACAGCTGGAGCCCGTTCCCGGTGTGCGCATGCACAGAGCTGCCAGGAGACAAGAAGAACTCAGAAAGCAGGGTCAACTCAGGAGTAAAGCCACATCTTGGAGGTAATTGGCCCCTCCCATAGGAAACAAAAGAGGAGCGAACAGAGAGGGGGCTTTTGCAGGAAACAATTTGTTCGTTCCGTGATTCTGAGAGACTCTGTGCCAAGTTTTGCCTTGTACTGCGGTTGGAAATTAGTTACCTGGCAGCCTTCCAAGCGAGATAAGGTCTGTGTTGATAAATGTTCCTTTGAAAAACTGTTTGGACAGGCTGACTGTGAATGAAAGGAATTCACAGTCGTGTAAATAAAAGAGGTTTTGCCAGGACCAAGACTCTGCTTCCTGCTTTTTAAGGGAGCCTAGGTCAGAACACTTTCCGCCTCACCTTCTGAATTCTGACGGGACGCGGCTCCTTTGATGCGGAAAGCTTGCCGGGCCCGAGTCTGGTCTCCAAAACTCCAGCTCTTGGGGACTTTACTTGGGCTATCTTCCACGCTCTGGTCTGCACTGGGGGATCTTCGGACGCTTGACCCCTGAGGAGAACTTTTACTTTTCGTGGTTGCACCTCGAGGGCTGGAGAAGACACGATCTTTCAAGCTGACCTTCTGACTGGACACGGAGACAAATCAAAACGAGACGAGAGAAAAAAGGGGAGAGACAAGCAGGGGAGGGGGTCACTTCCAAAACCACCACGTGGGGAGGACTCCCTTTCAGCCATTCAAAAAAATTCAACAGTCTTTCAAAAGCAGCAGCAGTAGAAGCGGTGGCCGTGGCGAGATGTGGCTTTGGGTCATCACTGACTTGAAAAGGCGTCTCGGGAAAGTTTTCCGTGGTCGATGAATGGAGATGGGGCGGGGAGGGGGAGGGGGCACCCATTGAGGAAAGAAGGAAGGAAGGAAAGAAAGAAAGAACCGAGGGGATGAATGAACGGGAAAACAGAAGGCGATCTGGTCAGATGGAATATGTAGAGTGCAGATGGAACGACGGGCATGAAGATTTAGATACGAAGCATTGGGTCCGAGCAGCTCCGTGCAAGGGGAATGGCCCAACGGTCGAAACCTGGCCCCTGATTTCTGATGTTAGTTTTCCAAGATGCACCTGTCAAAAGCCGTTTCTTGCCTATCTTCCACTCTAAAACCCGGCTCCTGTGAGCAAGCTGACAAGGAAGGCTGAGAAGGCATCTGCAGATTCCTCACTTCCTGGACATGAACTGTTTTGACTCCTTCCCTCCGGACGGCGCTATAGGGCCAATTGTATGCCAAGACAACTAGACACATAAAGACAAAGGTCTATAGAAGTTCTCAGGCTGTGGTTGTCCCAAAAGTGCTTTTTTCAAAAGTCAACAGGACTTTCTTAGTTTTTTTTTTTTCTTCCAAACGTTTCGCAGAACCGAAGATGCTTCTTAGATGAGAAACGTGTTCAAGGGAAAAAAAAAAACTAAGAAAAACTAAGAAAGTCCAGTTGTGTTTTGAAAAGCACTTTTGAGACACAAGGACAGATTGTTACCTCGTGCCATCATTCTGCTCCTCACCTAATTCTCAAAATTACAGGTAGTCCTCGACTTACAGCCACAATTGAGCCCGAACTTTATGTTGTTGCTAAGGGAGACGTTTGGCCTCATTTTATGACCTAACATGCCGCAGTTGTTGAATAAATCATTGCAGTGGTTAAGGTAGTAACACCGTTGTTAAGTGAATCTGGTTTCCCCATTGACTTGGCTTGTCAGAAGGTCTCGCAAAAGGGGATCACATGACCCCGGGACGTTGCGACCATCATAAATATGAGTCAGTTGCCAAGCGTCTGAATTTGATCATGTGACCATGGAGATGCTACAATGGTCATAATTGTGAAAAACGGTCATAAGTCACTTTTTTTCAGTGCTGTTGTAACTTCTAATGGTAACTAAATGAACTGTTGTAAGTTGAGGACTACAGTACCTGTACAGTACTACACTACCTAGTCATATAGTACCTCCTGGGGGGTTATTACAACTGTATACAATGGAGTAACGTAAGGCGATTTTCGTTTCTTACTGGCTTCCTCCCACCACAATATATATTTCTCTACTGTAGATGAGATGGAGACATTCATCGGACATTCAGAAATGCAGGTTTTCCTCTTCCTTGATTCAAACATGCTTGCTCTGTTTCAAGACCTTTCCCAGGGACCTTGATCTTTACAAACACTAACCAATCATACTTTTCACCAATTCTAAATGCTGGTTTCCTTTCCTACCTATACAGTATCTACTTCACTTCTTAGTTACAAAAAGGATTATAGAAAAGTCTATAATACAGAGCAGGGTGTCAAACTGGATTTCTTTGAGGGCCAGATCAGCATTGTAGTTCTCCACGGGCCGGCGGGGGAGGGAGCGGGGGGGGGGAAGATGGGACAGATGCCTCCTGCAGCATTTTACTGACCAAAAATGGGCTGCGCTGAGGCCCCGCGAGGCCTCCACATGGCCCTTTTAACCACCAGAGTGCTGCAAGAGGCCAGGGAGGCTGAAAATGGGCTGCGGCAGGCTACACACAGCCCGTTTTGGCCAGCAGAGGCACTGAGGATCGGTCTTTTTACAGTTCCAGGCTGGCCCCATGGGCCGGATTTAAGCAATCCGCAGGCCACATCCAGCCTGCAGACCTTGAATTTGACGCCCCTGATATAGAGAGAACTGCATTATCTAGCTTTTCCCAACCTTCCATTCTCTTACATCTCCCATAATCCCCAGCCAGCCCAAACTTTGGAGGGCAGCCTATGCGTTGTGGCCAGTACGCGGCCTGTGCAGCTAGTAGCTGATTCCGACAGCGAGGAGGCTGGTGTGGTGCTGCGCCAGCAGCCTGTGCAGTTGGCATTTGAGTCGGACAATGAGGAGGCTGGAGAAGATGTGGTGCCAGAGGCGGGGATTCAGCCAGGGCCTTCAGAACCTCCAGAAGCTCCCTTAAGTGAAGAGGACGAAGAGGAGGAGCCTCTTCTCGATGCACGGGCACGCAGAGCTGCCAAAAGGCAGGAGAGGCTCCTCAGGAGGAGGTCTCCTCGAGAGTAAGGCTTGGGGCTAATTGGCCACTCCCTTAGCCTATTTAAGGAGGAACGCCGACTGAAGCAATTTGCAGGGAACAACTTCGTTCACATACCTTCCTGTCTTGTCTTGCTTATCTTACCAACTTCCTATAAATTGTTTCTGGGCATTCTGCCAACCACAGTAAGTTTTCAGTTATTATTCTTTGGATTCTTGTAGGCTGTTAATGCAGTTAATTAACAGCCATTGTTGTAAAAGACTGGTTTATTTATTAAACCAAGGTTTGAATGGACTTTGTGTGTGCTGCGTTCTTTGGGGTCCGTAGCTGGGGCAGAACACTATGGTTGCTCACTAAGCTGACATGGTTGGCTTGGATTCTGATGTCGTTCTGGGGTTCCCTAACTGGCTTCTTGGATAATCAATCAGGGAAAAGTGACTGCCAAGCCACAGGTCTCTGAATTGGAGTAGCATGCAATGAAGATCCTTGCTTGGAAAGTCCTCTCTTTTGTTTATACCGTGGGAATTTCCAAGAGGGTGGACTTCAACTCCCAGAATTCTGATCAATGGTCATGTTGGCTGTGGAATTCTGGGAGTTGAAGTCCACTGGCCTGGAAATTCCCACAGTTGGGAAACCCTCAAATAGGAGAAAGATCGTTTCTCAGGGTAAGGCACGAGTCTTGAATGCAGAAAGTCTGGCTTCATTATCCGGCATGGTTAATTTGAGCACTTGGGGACATGCTGTTGGGGATCCAAGGATGTTGAAATCCACGCTTTTCAAAATCCAGGTGGGGTACCTAAAATTTCCCCCTTAACCAGAAAATCAGAGTAGTCAGAGTAGAGTAGAGTAGAGTAGAGTAGAGTAGAGTAGAGTAGAGTAGAGTAGAGTAGAGTAGAGTAGAGTAGAGTAGAGTAGAGTTGAGTTGAGTTAGGAGTGGGAGTGGGAGTGGGAGTGGGAGTGGGAGTGGGAGTGGGAGTAGAGTAGAGTAGAGGTAGGACAGGGGTGGGAGTGGGAGGAGGAGGAGGAGTGGAGTAGAGTTAGGAGTGGGAGTGGGAGTGGGAGTAGAATAGAGTGGGAGTAGGAGGAGGAGGAGGAGGAGTAGAAGAGAGGAGAGGTAGGAGTGAGAATAGAATAGAATAGAATAGAATAGAATAGAATAGAATAGAATAGAATAGAATATGAGTTGGAAGGGACCTTGGAGGTCTTCTAGTCCAACCCTTGCTCAGGGAGGAAACCCTATACAATTTCAAACAAATGGCTGTCCAACATCTTCTTTAAAACTTCCACTGTTGAAGCATTTACAACTTCTGGAGGCAAGATGTTCCACTGATTAATTGTTCTCACTGTCAGGAAATTTCTTCTTGGTTCTAAGTGGCTTCTCTCCTTGATTAGTTTCCATCCGTGGCACAAGCATCCAGAAGACTTGGGACTGGAGCTGGCTGGGGAATTCTGGGAATTGTAGTCCACACGTCTTCAAGCCACCAGGATTGAGAAAAACTGACTTACATGACAATATAGGAAGTTTTGAAGCATCATTTTTAGTGCATGGGTAACCTAGGCAGAATATTTTAAAAATACTACCTTCCTGTAAGTTGTTCTTTTATGGCTTCTGGTATTATACTTGTGGCCTATTTTTCACAAGACATGATTTCTAGTTATCCTATGTCATGCCTTATTGACAAAGTCATCTCTGATAGCCAAACTTGTGGAACATATGAGAATTCTACATGGCTATATCACGCTGTGAATTAAGTGAAGCTATGGATTACAAGGAAAAAACTGCGTACTGTAATTACAATTGAGCCAGTAGTCTGTTTCAAATTTCTTTACCACCGGTTCTGTGGGTGTGGCTTGGTGGGCGTGGCTTGGTGGGCGTGGCAGGGAAAGGATACTGTAAAATCTCCATTCCCTCCCCAATCCAGGGGAAGGTTACTGCAAAATCCCCATTTCCTCCCGATCAGCTGGGACTTGGGAGGCAGAGAATAGATGGGGGCGTGGCCAGTCAGAATTTTTACTACCGGTTCTCCGAACTACTCAAAATTTCCCCTACTGGTTCTCCAGAACTGGTCAGAACCTGCTGAAACCCACCTCTGAATTGAGCCCAACATCTCCACTGCTAACTGAGACAATTGTTAAGTGAATTTTACAAGCTTTTCTTGCCACAGTTGTTAAGTCAATCACTGCAGTTGTTTAAGTTAGTAACATGGTTGTTAAGTGAATCTGGTTTCCCCATGAACTTTGTTTGTCAGAAAGTCGCAAAAGATGGTCACATGATTCTGGGTTACTGCAACCGTCATAAATATGAACCAGTTGCCATGCATCCAAATTTTGAGCATGTAACCATCAGAGATAGTATTCAACTGGTTCAGACCAGTTCGACTGAACCGGTAGCGGAAATCACCCCGGCTCTATGCCAGCCTATTTAGGCACATTTTTGAGGCCAGGTACATGCGCAGAAGGCACGCGCGCCAGCAAAGTACATGTACGGAAGGCCGGGCGCATGCGTGGATGGGGCGCATGTGAGCGTGCATGCGCTCACATTTACAAACCGGTAGGGAAAATAAGCGAATACCACCTCTAGTGACCATGTGGATGCGGCAACGGTCACAAGTGTGAAAAACGGCCGTAAGTCACTTTTTGCAGTGCTGTTGTAACTCTGAACAGTCACTAAACGAACTGTTGTAAGTTGAGGATTACCTATAATTGTTCTCACTGTCAGAAAACTTCTCCTGAATTCTAGGTTGGATCTCTTTTTGATAAGCTTCCATCTATTACTTTTTGTCAAAAAAAAAAAAAGTGGAGGAATACATCCATTAGGAATAGAGGAAATGCTTTTTTTATTGCTCCTTATTTAAAAATATCTCAGGGAATGTAAGGAGAATGCCACTTGTGTTTAAGAATAAGAAAGATGTCAACTCGCAAAGCATCCCTGGCCTGCTCTCGAGTTGCCATAGGTAAAGGGGATGGGAAACAAAAGCACATTTCAGACATATCTCTCTCAAGGCTGTCTCTCAGGGTTACCCACAGCGGCCGGATGGGAGTGATCTCTACAACCTGCGAAATTGCTCTGTTGGCTAATGTGACTGATGACACACCCTGGGGGAAGGGGGAAACAGTGTCATGCCTGGGTTGTAAATTACATGGGGTCAAAGTTGGCTTTACTTGGAAAGTGCCGACATGAAGCTCCTAATAAATAACCCAATTTCTTTTGAAGCTTGGCTCTAATTAGGGCATCCGACGGAAGCCCACAGCCAATCATCTTGGAAATGAAAGCCATTTGTAGGAAAAAGGGTTTTTGAAACTAAAGGACCGAATGTTAAGCAGAAGGAGATTCACAAGCCTGACACACATACACGGACACACAAGTAATATCTATTGACATAAGAATATTGTTTAGTATGGCATGATTACCACCTTGCCTTTGTAACTGTCTATGGAGATTCTCAGTCATCCCAGTCATGGTTTTCCCAAAGGTGCTTTTTTTCAAAAGACAACTGGACTTTGTTTTTCCTCAGAAGACATTTTGCTTCTCATCCAAGGAGCTTCTTCACTTCTGACTGAACCGTGGAGGATGGAAGCATTTATATTCCTTGCAGTCCTCTGGTCGTTCGCATAAACCTCCAAGTGGCCTCAACGACCCTCAGAGAGTGTGCTACTGTAATCAGATAACTGCAAGGAATATAAATCCTTCCATCCTTCACCATTCAATCAGAACTGAAGAAGCTCCTTGGATGAAAAGTGAAACGTCTTCAAGGAAAAACAAAGATCAGTTGTCTTTAAAAAAAAAAAGTTTTGTAACATAGGACCTACTTATAAACAATAAAAACAAAAAAAGGTATATTGATATACTTTAGAGCAGGGGTCCACAACCACCAGTCCCAGAAACCGGGCCGTGAAACAAGCGAAGCCCCATCTGTGGGATGCAGGCAGCATGTGAAACCACGCCCCCTCTGGTCCACGGAAAAACCTTTCTCCCCTGGTGCCCAAAAGGTTGGGGGCCGCTGATTTAGAGAGTGGCAGCTTCAGTCATTTTCAATTAACCCTGGACGCCTTCAGGAATCAAGCTGGATTCCCAAATGGACATTCGTCAACCAACCAAGCATTTGTGACTATCTCACGGGACCTCGCATCAACAGGTTCACGCTCAACTGAAAATACAAAAACCCGTCACAGAGAGGGAAGAAGAAGCAACTGAAGTGCTACAAGATGTGCATCCTAAGAGTTTGACTTTTACGGAAAGGAAGGAGTTTTGTCACAATAGCCTGATAACCTGGCATTGCCCAGGTATTTATTTATCCCAATCCTGTATTAGACAGGAAAAGAAATGGATTATATCTATAGTGTCAAAACGCAGCCCAGGCATTCCAGAGTTATGCTGGAACATACACAGACAGACAGGCACATACACACATACCGAGGGGTGTTTAAGGGTGTCTTACCCCCACAGTAATTCTTTCCAGAGAGTAAGTCATCTGTGTACCAAGTTTGGTTGAAATTGCTCAAGGCGTTCCAGCGTTATGCTGGAACATACATACATACACGCGCGCACACACACACACACACAGAGACCCATTTATATAGATAGATAGATTAAATGTCTATGGAGTTTCTCAGTCATCCAGATCATGGTTGTCCCAAAGGTGCTTTTTCATGAGGCAACTGGACTTACTGGGATTTTTTTTTTCTTTGAAGATGTTTCGCTTCTCATCCAAGAAGCTTCTTCACCTCTAATCCAAAAAGTCCAGTTGCCTCTTGAAAAAACACCTTTGGGATATCTCAATTAAGTTATGGAGCTCACCTTTTCCTTACCGATTATGTCAGGTGAAGCAAGCTAATTTAACTCTTTCAGGATCAACTGGATAACCAACATTGTATGATCTGACAATAATGTCCAAACCCTGATTTGCCATAGCTGAAGTCATGTCAAAGTCCCATTTAAGGGGACCTGAGGTTAAAGTAAATTCAGGCTAATGTGTCTCTTCCTGCTTAGTAGAAGTGCTAGAACAGAGGTCTCCAACCCCTGGGTCATGGCCAGTGATGGGATTCAGCCAGTTTTGTCCAGTTCAGGCGAACCGGTAGTGGCAACTGCAGGAGGCTCCACCCATCCACCTGGATGTAATGCGCGAGCACTGCACGCACTCTCACATTTGCAAACCGGTAGGGAAGGTAAGTTAATCCCACCTCTGGTCATGGCCCACTACCAGGCCGTGGCCTATTCGGAACCGGGCCACATGAGCTGCAGGCTGGCATGCACACACAGCTACACTAGCGCAAGTGGCGCCCCAAAGGCTTTTCTTCTATCTTACGTGAGTGGAGCTGCAAGCATGTGCGTGCGAGCTGGCCTGCTGCTTGTATTGCCCAGTTTCCCTGTCCACCTCCCTCAGCCAGGCCACCAAGTCGCCTGCTCCCAATGCTCCAAAAGAGGAGCGTTGGGAGCATTGAGCGGGACAAGGATATCCTGCTCAGCTTCACTGACCACCAAGGCTACCTGCAGCGGTGGCTCTTCCATCCCAAGGGTCGGCCCACTGATTTCCACTGCTCTCCTCTCCACTGCCTTCTGCGCAGCCGTGCATCAGGCACTGGGCCCAGCTGTTCCTCCTCTTCCTCATCAGCCACCTCCAGATCTGGGTGCTGTTGACTCTCCATCTGAGGGCTGACGGATGGCCCAGGCTCCGCCTCTGTCTCTGTCTCTCTCTGATAGCTCCATTCCCTCTTCCCCCTCGGAGCTCTCAGGTTGCCTTGATGCTGACCCTGACTCCCACACCTCCTCCTCCTTTGATTCAGCTGCTGGAAGGGCCGGCAGCCAACAGGCCACAACAGGGCAGCCTCGGTGAGACTGAAAGAGCATGACACCACGTCCCCAAAGACTTCTGTGCGCCAAAAGCTTTTGCAAACGAACTAAAGGATTCGGGGATGCGAACCTGCACCGCTTCAAGCCTTCAGTCCCTTTGCAAAAGCTTTTGGCGCAGAGAAGCATGAGTGAAGCTAAGCATGCATGCGCCCACATCAGCCCGCCAATCATGTGGCCCAGGTTCCCCTTCCCCTCCCCCCAAAGGTTGGGGACCACTGTGTGCTAAAAGATCCATAGCAGGGGGAAAGCCCTCCATTAATTAGCGTTTACAGGTAGTCCTCGACTTACCCTTACAATTAAGATCACAATTTCGGTTGCTAAGCAGGGCAGCTGTTAAGTGAGCTGCGTCTGAGTTTATGATCCTTTTGCCATGGTTCTTAAGAGAATCACTGCAGTTCTTAAGTGAATCACATGGTTGTTAAGCAAATCCTGCTTCCCCCATGGATTTTGCTTCTTGGAAGCTGGGTGGGAGGATTGCAAATGATGATCATACGACCCCGGGATGCTGCAATTGTCATAAGCGCCATTGCCAAGTGTCCAAGTTTTGGTCATGTGACCTCGGGGTTCTGCCACAGTTCTAAGTGCGAGAATTGGTCACAACTCACTTTTCTCAGTGCTATTGTAACTCTGAATGGTCACTAAACCAACGGTTATAAATCGAGGAATTACAAAGGCATTAAAAAACAAACTTTCCCTTTAAAACATATAGTCCTCGAGTTATAACAGTTCATTTAGTGACCATTTGAAATTACAACAGCCCTGAAAAAAAGAGACCAATGACCAGTTTTCACACTTACAACCGTTGCAGAAGCATCCCCAGGGTCACGTGACTCAAATTCAGACGCTTGGGAACTGACTCATATTTATGACGGTTGCAGTGTCTTGAAGTCATGTGATCCCCTTTTGCGATCTTCTAAGAAGCGAAGTCAATAGGGAAGCCAGATTCACTTAATAACCGTGTTACTAACTTAACAACTGCAGTGATTCACTGAACAACCGTGGCAAGACAGGCCGTAAAATAGGGGGAACTCACTTAACGAATGCCTCACTTAAGCACAGAAATTTTGGGCTCAATGTTGGTCGTAACTCGAGGACTATCTGTGTAATGCAGGTTTTTGCTTTGCTTTGCTTTGCTATGCAGACTAATTAATACCTGTGGTCTTGACACATTTAAATCTTTTTTTTTTTTTCCTCTTCTCATGCCCTGGAAAACCTTTTGCTAAGCCACCTTCCCCGAAGCCAATCGCCTTCCTTCACAGTCCCTGCCTTTTATCCGCCTGCCAGGAAGAGAAAGATGCTGCCAAACGTCCTTGGCTTAGCACAGCTCACCTCTATGAAGCAGATGAATGGGCAGAACAGAAGGTAGCAGGAAAAGAAAAAGACAGAGAGAGAGAAAGAGAATGAGCGTGCAGCTTTGGATCGGTTCGGTGCAAAGCAATTGCTGTGGTACCTAGAGGTTCCTGAGCAGCATCCACAAAAAGATTTTCTGCACCGAGTGGCTTGACTGGAAATGAGGGGAGAGTAGAAAAGTTAGACCAGGTGGCTCCTACCCAACCAGACACGTTGTAGAAGGCAAGGAGGGAGGGCCACGTTTGACAGAATAACAAAATGACAGAGTTGGAAGGGACTTTGGAGGCCAACCCACTACTCAAGCAGGAGACTCTTATATCATTTCGGACAATTTGGAGGATTCTCAATTTTTGGAAGCAAGTTATTCCACTGTCAAGGAAGTTTCTCCTTAATTCCAGGTTGCTTCTCTCCTTGATTAGTTTCCATCCTTTGCTTCTTGTCCTGCCCTCAGGTGCTTTGGAGAATAGTTTGACCCCTTCTTCTCTTTGACAGTCCCTTAAATATTCAACCAAACCCCACAAAACCCCAAGTAAAGCTAATCTTGATCCTAATTTCCGTTCATTACTTCAATCCAAAATTAAATTAAATTAAATTAAATTAAATTAAATTAAATTAAATTAAATTAAATTATTAAAAGTAAATAAATAAAAATTTAAACTAAATTAAATTATTAAAACACCAAATTAAATTAAATTAGATTATTTAGAAACTAAATTTAGAAATTAAATTAAATTGTTAAAAATAAATAAATTAAAAATAAATTAATTTTAAAAATCAAATTAAATCAAATAATCAAATCAAATTAAATTGGAAAGCAGTTTTTCCACAGGAAAGCCTGTGGAAGTATGTCTTAACAATTAATTTCGAGAGGCCTATAAGTGGTTGTCATTTGGGGTCATAATATGGAAATTTATTAGCAATAACCTAGTTTGCAATTCTTCATTAAATGATCTATGCTTTAGGGTTTTTTTAAAAAAAATATTATTTGCCTCTGAAGATTATTTAGAACTTGGAAATAGATATCTCAGGAACGTTGGATGACATACCCCTCAAAACTGGTAATTATCAAATTAATAGCTTAGCTAAAATACATTCACATTAGGGACTGTTTTTAATATAGAGGGCATCAGAGAAGCACTAATTTAATTTTCTATTAAATTACTCCTTCCCAACCCAATACTTCTGGATAAATTGGATTTAACTCCAAATACTCTTAGCCTGCATGGCTACTGTAGGGGTGTCCAACCTTGACAATTTTAAGACCTGTGGACTACAACTCCCACAATTCCCAATCCACCCATGCTAACTTGGGAAATTCTGGGAATTGAAGTCCACAGGTCTTAAAATTGCCAAAGTTGGACACCCCTGCTCTACAGGATAAAAAGAGAATTCCATATCTCTTGCATAGCAACTGGCTTGGCCCAAAGACCATAATATTACTTCAGGTATCCTGTCCTAATAGATTCTAGAAGGTACCAATCTAGAGTTCAACATCAAATAATTTATAATTATCTCATAGCACATCAGACCAATGAGTCAGGCTATCTAATTTGGCCAGTCCTTATGAATATATTAAAACTATATATATTAAATATTAAATATTAATATTTAAATATTAAATATTAAATAAATAAATATTAATATATATACTATATATTAAAACAATATATTAAAGCTCAACTATTAAATACAATAACCAAAATAAAATCAAATTTTGTCAAAGGTTTTTTTTTTGAGGACTCCTTTTGTGGACTGGAGCTTCGTCACCAGCTGATCTTCAGTTCATCTGTTGTTCACTTTCTGAACAGAAGATTCCAGAAAGTAGATCAAAACATTTTTATGCTCTCCAAACTTGGCAACTTTAAGATTTGTGGATTTCAACTCCCAGCATAGGCTGACTGAGGAACTCTGGGAATTGGTAGCCTACAAGTCTTGAAGTTGCCAAGTCTGGAATTAAACAATTCCTCCAAATCTATTAAAATTCTATGTATATTTTAGCCAGACATAGAGCTGAATAGGAGATGCCCAGATGCACCTACGCATGACTAAAAGTATAGTGATAACAAAATGCTCTCCACACTTATCAGCAGGAAATGGAACCGTGCATGGCAGTGACCCTTGCAGAAGTAGGCCTCAACTTATGACCACAATCAAGAACAGAATTTCCTACATGGGGGAACAAGGGGGGAGCGCACGCAAGTCCACACCCATAATTCTATGTGCCCCGCCCCTGTGACCCCCCTCCCTCCCCGCTCCTGGCACGCGATGGCCCGGTGGGCCGGATTTTCTCTCTCCCCAGGCTCCAGAGCCTTTCTAGGAGTCTGAGGAGGGCAAAAACGGTCTTCCCCCCGCCACCCGCCCGGAGGCAGAAAACAACCTATTTCCCTACTTCTTGTGGGCCCAGAAGGCCCGAAAATCAGCTGGTCGGCATGCACATGTGCACCGGAGCTGAGCTCGCGTGCCCACCGATAGGTTCGCCATCGGTTCCATAGGTTTGGTTCCATAGTGCCATAGGTTCGCCATCGTGGCCCTATATTCTTGATGGCGAACCTATGGCATGCGTGCCAGAGGTGGCACACAGAGCCCTCTCTGTAGGCATGTGCACCGTCGCCAGCTGCTCTCTTCTGGGTTCCGGCGTGCGCAAGACCAGCTGTCCGGAGCACTGGAACCCGGAAGAGAGCAGTTGGCCGGTGTGTCGGTGCTCAGGACTCAGAACTCAGGATTGAGTGAAGAATTGGCCTGTAAAACACTATGATTCTATGGAAACAAGAAAAGATACCACCTATGATTCTAAAACAACAACTGATAGTAGACAACAGGAAACAACCAAAAAGATCCTCTGAACAGTTGCAAAATAATTAAGAAAGTCCACGTTCATACCACTTCTCTTGGGCAGAACAATGGTTGCAAATACAGGCAGTCCTTGACTTACAACAGTTCATTAGTGACCGTTCGAAGTTACAAGGCACTGAAAAAAGTGACCTACGACTGTTTTTCACACTTACGACCATTGCAACATCCCTTTGGTCAGGTGATCAAAATTCGGACACTTGGCAACCGATTCACAGTTATGACGGTTGTAGTGTCCTGGGGTCGTATGATCACCTTTTGTGACCTTCATACAAGGAACCTGAATGTGGAAGCCGCATTCACTTAACAACCGTGTTACTAACTGCAGTGATTTACTTAACAACAGTGGCAAGAAAGATCGTAAGACTGGGCAAAACTCACTTAACAACTGTCTCACTTAGCAACAGAAATTTTGGCCTCAGTTATGGACATACATAGAGGTTTACCTGTATAGAAGGAGAAGACTATAGGTAATCCTCGAATTACGACCAAAGCAGAACCCAAAATTTATGTTTCTAAACAACCTTTGTTAAATGAGTTTTGCCCCATTTTATGACCTTCCTTGCCACAGTTGTTAAGTGAATCACTGCAATTGTTAAATTAGTAACACGGTTGTTAAGCAAATCTGGCTTCCCCATTGACTCTTGCTTGTCAGAAGGTCGCAAAAGGGGATCACATGACCTTGGGAAATTGCAACCGTCATAAAATAAGTCATTTGCCAAGCCTCTGAATTTTAATCACAGGACCATGGGGATGCTGCAACGGTCATAACTGTGAAAACTGTTCATTAGTCACTTTTTTCAGTCCCGTTGTAACTTCGGACAGTCACTAAACAAACTGTTGTAAGTCAAGAGCTAACTGTATTACAAACAGGTGTATTTTTCATGAAAGGCAGCAAGGAATAGTGGCTAAAGTTAAGAGCATCCAAGTTTCACATCCTCACTCTACCAAGAAGGTGCCTGTCACCTTCTTCGGCCTCACCAATTTAAAAAAAAAGTAATGGTGAGATAAGAATTTCAGACAAACTTTAAGCTTTACAACATGATATGGAACTATATATATATATATATAAAGTGTTTTTCTATCGAGACACCTGGTCTACCCCAGCATGTGAGAGGGAGCAAACTGCATCCTTTTCATCTTTCAGCTCCAATATATATATATATATTTTAAAAAGTCAAGGGCTCCAAAGATAACCTTGGTGAAAAATATTTTGTAAAAGCAATCAGATCCTAAGAACGTTGAGTGAAATCAGCTGAATTTTTCTCTTTGTTTCTCCCTCTCTCTTCTCTGTTTCTATGCCTCCCTACTTATCCATCTACAGTAGGGGTGGGCAACTGTGGCCCTTTTACAACCTGTGGACTTCAACTCCCAGAATTCCTGAGCCAGCTTGGCTATCTCAGGAATTCTGGGAGTTGAAGTCCACAGGTTGTAAAAGGGCCACAGTTGCCCACCCCGATCTACAGTATGGATTGATCCAATAATTCTCAACCTTAGCAACTTTAAGAGGTGCGGAGTTCAACTCCCAGTGTTGAAATGCTGGGAGTTGAAGTCCACACCTCTTAAAGTTGCCAAGTTTGAAACGCTATACCCACTGATCCTTCATTCCACTCACTGTCCGAATGAATGCCCAGACTGTCCCCTCTGCTAGAGAGCTAACGTCCGCCATTTTGTTCGGCCTACATCTGAACTGGTTGAATTGCTGCAGTTCCACCGCACGCTACCATGGGAAAGCATTGCTGGAACTAAGATTAGTTCTATTAGCCAAGCTGCATCCCACAGATATTTAGGGTTTTAGCGTGAACTAAACCTGCAGCCTGATCTTCAGCACTCCGCAAACCATCATCCAATGCGGAAGGCGGGTGGTCATGGGAACTATGCGCTTCGAACAAAGTCTGCAAAGGAACTGATGCAGCCGGAGAGAAACTCCTCTGGCTTGCAAGAAAAGTGTGGGGGTTTTTTTTGCTCAAAAGCAGGGATGTGTGACAAATGTTGGTGTGTACATGAACGTCCTTTCTTTCACTGCTATTGGGACCAAAAGAAAGGCTGAGATACAGGTGAGGGAAGAGAGGATTATGGGAGATGATCACCGCTTCGTCGTCACTTCAGAATCGCCTTTCCCAGCCTGGTGTTCTCCCAGTGAACAGGAGGACTACAACTCCCATCATTCTTCAGTCACCGTGATTACGAGCTGAAGACTGATACGGCTCAGCCCAACACATCTGGAATACCACAACTTGGGAAGCCTGGTTTAAATTCTCAGTTTAGGGAATTGAGACCTGTTATGCCAGCTTTCCTGCAAGACACGGATTCTCCATGTCCTTTTCCAGGACAGTGTGAGATCTCAGAGGTTATCTATTTATTTATTTAGTTAGTTAGTTAAATTTATATGCCGTCCTTCTCCCGAAGGACTCGGGGCAGCTCACAAAAGGTTAAAAACTGAAGAACAATAAAAAAATACATAATTAATTTAGTATAATTAAAATCCCACAATTTAAAACCCATATTAAAACCAATTAAAAACACCCCGCAGATCAGATGAGTTGTTTAAAAAGCCACGTCTTTAGGTCCTTGCGGACCTAAATAGTTAGATGGCTGCTGCAGCACCTGCTCTACAACTTCCACCTGCTAAAGGTCATATTGTCACGGAAAAGGCAGAAAAGGAGGATCAAAGGCCCACTGTTACAGGTTGTCCATACAAGGCATCTGGACCCCGGAATGGGACAACTTGCCATGGCCAGCTCACTACCGCCAACTCACCTCTGTTAACTCATCACCGCCAAGTTGCTGCGGGACGACTCCCCATGGATAACTTACTGCAGGGACAACTCGCTGCAGGCGGCTGGAGGGAGAGCCAGGCGGGCAGGCAAGTGAGCGGGTGGGCAGAGTGGGTTGGGGCCAGTAGCAGGGTGGCAGCGTATGGGGTCTTCCCATTTTCACATGCACCCCACTGCTGATTGGCGGCGGCTCTGCATCCAGCACGGCAGTGGCAACAACAGTGCAGAGTTAGAAAATGGGAAGTCCCCAGCCACTGCCACCTCCCCACCACCTGCCCCAATGTACTCGGCACTCTGCCTTCCTGCTCGCCCACTGGTTCTCCCCTTCTGGCCGCCCACGGGGAGTTGTCTCCGTGGCGAGTTGGCCATGAGGAGTTGCCCTGCAGGAACGTGGCATCTGTGAGATGACAGACGTGAGTTGGCAGTGGTTAAGGGGCCACGGTGAATTGTCCTGGACCCTGTGGACATGGTTTCATAGCAGAGGATTTGAGCGGGTTGAACATTTACAACGTTTGTTTGAATGGCTCTCAGGTCCATGTCGCTAGGATGCATCACACGTGTGACATAAAGAGAACGGGAACACAGACATAAAGAGAGAGTGAAGTGGGAAGGCATAAAGGATGGGCTTCCGTAAAATATACAGACCTTGGAGATGATTCTGGCTGTGGTTCTTTCCTTAAAGAGAAACAGAAGTATGTTAGTTAGTTAGTTAGTTAGTTAGTTAGTTAGTTAGTTAGTTAGTTAGTTAAATTTTATGCCCCCTGTCTCACTGATGTAACAAGTCTGAGCAGTATACCATAAGATAAAAAGTAAAAAAAAAGTACTACAGGACAATTAAAATTACGAGAATTAAACAGAAATGTTAGCAATGAAACTACATTTGCAGTGAGAAAAAAGATGGTCCAGGAACGCCAAACAAAACTGAGTAACAAAACAGAGGAAATACTTACAAGCTCATACAAAGAGAGTCTATGTCAACTCACTGCTCACAGGACAACTTAATGCGAGATAACTGTACTGCAGACCAGGGGTGGGCTTGAAAAATTTTAGCAAGGGGTTCTCTGCCTGGTTGCTGGGTGGGCGTGGCCATGGTGGGTGTGGCCTAGTCGGCCTCCTGCACCACGACAGGAGAGGGGTGCCCTCCCCGGGCTCCGGAGGTTTTCCTCAAGCCTCCGGGAGGACAAAAACAGCCTCCCCAGGCTCCAGAGGCCCTCTGGAAGGCCCATATCCAGCCTTCCCGAACTTCCGGTAGGCCCATTTTTCACCCTCCCTGAACCTTCGCGCGCACCCTGCACTTACCTGCATCCAAAATGGGCCGTGTGAGGACTCCTGGGAGGGGAGGGGAGGGGAGGGGTGGGCGGGGCAAGCCAGGAGTGGGATTTGGGTGCTCTCCGAACTGCACAGAATCTTAGTTAGAGGTTCTCCCGAACCCCTGCAAACCCCCAGCAGCCCACCCCTGCTCTAGACCCATTGCTCTCTTAATATTATTAGTAATATTATTTGACTGTTTGTATCAGAATTATGGCTGCAATGGGCATGGGGCAGTGGCTAAAAGAATTATATTAAGACATTGGAAAAGTTATATTATTCTGAGTGCCTATGAAGATTCTCAGTCATCCTGGTCATGGCTGTCCCAAAGCTGCTTTTTCAAGAGGCAACTGGTTTAGAGCTGAAGAAGCTTCTTGGATGAGAAGCAAAACGTCTTCAAGGAAAAACCAGAAAATCCAGTTGCCTCTTGAAAAAAGCACCATTGGGATTATTCTGAATGCCATAGTATATCATTTCAGACGACAAAATATGTGTGATTTTGTCTGTTTTGGAAAAGGCAACATTTTCTACTAGTCACAAGACATAGCAAATATGTGTTATTATTGCAGGAATGTTGGGATAGCTTTGAATAATATTTCGTATTGTTCATATTATAGGACTGAGTTCATTAGTGAGCTAGAGATTCCTAACAAGTGAAAAATATAAGGCAGGTTATTCTCTTTTTCTTTCGTTCTTAGCCTCATTTTTTTCCCATTTTCTTTAAAATGAAAGATTGCCTAGTAAATTGTGTACGTATAAAGCAAATTTTCAATATATAATTTATAATGAGGGGTGGGCTGCTGGGGGTTCGCAGGGGTTCGGGAGAACCTCTAGCTAAGATTCTGTGCAGTTCTGAGAACCCTGAAATCCCACTCCTGGCTGGCCTCGCCCCGCCCACCCTGCCCCGCCTCTCCCAGGAGTCCCTACATGGCCCGTTTTAGAGGCAGGTAAGTGCAGGGTACGCACGGAGGCTCGGGAAGGGCAAAAAACGGGCCTACCGGAAGTTCGGGAAGGCCAGAAATGGGCCCATTTCCGGTCTCCAAAGGGCCTCTGGAGCCTGGGGAGGCCGTTTTCACCCTCCCAGAGGCTCGAGGAAAGCCTCCAGAGCCTGGGGAGGACACCACCCCTCGCTGTGCTGAAGGAGGCCGACTAGGCCATGCCCACTGTGGCCATGCCCATCCAGCAACTGGGCAGAGAACTCTTTGCTAAAATTTTTGAAGCCCACCCCTGTTTAAAATTTTTCTTTTCAAAAATATAAATCCTCAATCGTTTTGGTTCTTACCTTCATCTGCTTCTTTTCATAGCCATCCCATATTTTCAAACCATTAAAACTGAGACAATCTGGGGACTTGTGCAAGCAAAGCTGGGGAACATAGACTTTAGAATCCCTTCCAAACTCTCTCTTCCTTTTGGCTGGCCCATTTACACAGCAAAGGACAGCGAGTTTTGACAGATGATTAAGCCTAAATTCCCAAAGGCATGGAAAATTGCAGCCATCTGACAAAACTTCTTTTATCTTGTGCGCACAAGCAAAGAGAAAGTGAGTTTAAATGATTAAACTATATTCCCCCTAGGCAGAATATATGCATTCACAGTAGCTATTTAAACTTACTGACTTACACAAGGGAAGTAGAAGGAGAGATGGCTAAACCTGCATTCCTGTAAACAATCAGAGATGACCTTGAACTGAATGTAGAAGCTGGTAGCAAAACATGAATTAATTCTGGAAAAACCAAAAAGGACGAGCGAGAAATTTAAAATTCCACCGTCTTGACTCTCCTTGGTTTAAGAAAGAGAGAGGGGAATAGTTGTAAAGCTTTTCAAAAGTCTGTTATTAATAACTATTTTCATAAAGTAGAGTTGCAGTGTTTCTAATGTTGTCTGTTTCCCAATTTAGCCTGCCTCCTTCTTAAAAGCCTCACTGTAATTTCCTTTCTTCTTATATCAGTGTTTCCCAATCTTAGTCTTGTTATGATGGGAACCAGGTTATCTGAGGGACCATCTCTTGCCGATCACATCTACCTGACCCAACAGAGTGGGGAGGCAGGGAATGTTGCGGGTTCCATCCCCAAGGGAGATACACCTGGTAGGACCCAGAAGGGCCTTCTCCGTGGTGGCTCCCTCTCTCTGGAACATCATTCCCCCCGAGATTAGAACGGCCCCCACTCTAGCACTCTTCCAGAAGGCGCTAAAGACCTGGTTCTGCCAGCGGGCCTAGGGAACTCAGAGCGGGATGGAGCCTGTTAAATGGCTCATGTGATCTGCTGTTGCCAGGATGGGCGGTGATTTTGTCATATTGTACTATATTAATTTATTTCATTTTTTTTGTTAGTTTTTATTGTTTTAAATGTGGTTTTATATTCTGTAAGGTGAATAGGCGGTAATATAAATTCAATAAATAAATAAATAAGATGTGTGGACTTCAATTCCCAGAATGCCCCCATTCTGGGGCATTCTGGGAGTTGTATTCTGGGAGTTGAAGTCCACACATCTTAAAATGGCGGAAGGTTGGGAAACATTGTTTTCTATACCAAAGAGAATCAAAGGAGGTTTCTTTCCAACATCTTCCAATCCCAGACTTAATTCATATTTCTCTACTTTTCTTCTCCAAGGTCATCTCTGCGGTTCTCTACAATTCCCCTTCGCTGGGATGTACAGCTCTGTTTTCAAGAACTCCAGTACAGAACCATAAAAATCCCATTTCACATGCTAAATCTATTTTTCCAGAAGTCAGTCTCAGCCATTACTAACCTGAAAGTTAATCCTGATTTGCTCTTCAGATTTCTCAGGAGCTCGAGCTGATTCAAAGGTGGAATGAGCCTAAATTGGAAGAAATCCAAAATCAATTTCAGACAAAGAGAGAGAGAGAGAGAGAGAGAGAGAGAGAGAGAGGGAGGGAGGGAGGGAGGGAGAGAGAGAGAGAGAGAAACACAGTAACCATCTCATGGAAAGTTTCCCCCTCCCTTGGGATTGTGTGTCTGTACAATATATTGCAAATACAGAAAAACAGGAGGTGAATTAGGAATTTTCCATCTCTAGACATTTTCCCAAAGCAGGATGAGAAGATAAAACTAGCATGGGAAATGAAGGAGGTGTCTCAAAATGGATAACCAACTGGAAAAATTAATGGAATTAGCAAAGATGGCTAAATTGACCACCTTAATCAAAGAAAAAACACATCTAGCTTTGTTTCTGCTTGGAAACCACTTCTGGACTTTGTGCTTGGGGTGGGGAAAAAAATGAAACTCTGACTTTGGGTTTTGATGATTAGATTAAGTTTTGTTTATTATAGAAATGGCTAGTATATATTGTTACACGTACTGTATATGCTATATATATAGTACTATATACTACATATAGCCTCAACTTTTTAAAAGTAAAAAATTGAGTCTATATGTTATTTTTTTTCTACCGTGCTAAAGAGAATCCAAGTGCTTTGCTTTCTTTTTCCTCTTTTCCTCTACACCTTCTCTTCTTCCCTTTTTCCTACCCTACTTTTCCACTATTTTCATTTTTCTTCGTATTTTATAGCAATAGCAATAGCATTTAGGCTTATATACCACTTCGCAGTGTTTCACAGCCCTCTCTAAGTGGTTTACATAATTATTTTGTTTTCTTGTTTTCCTCCTCTAAATCTAGGTATGTCTTATAGCCCAGTACATCTTATAGTCCGAAAAATACAGTAATTTGTGATCCCAATCCAGTTCAATGAAATGCTGGACCCCTGCAGAATCACTCTCGTTCTGTCCAGACTGCCTGATCTCCAGCATTTTCTGCCATAGTATGATACTGCGTAAGACCCCTATCTCAAATCTGCTTTCCACCCCCTGGGGGGGTCACAGCCCACAGTTTGAAAACTCCTGGCCTAGGCTGAACTTCCTTGCAAGAACTCCTTTTTCAGCATGTCCAGGAACCGATTCGTGCTTCGGATTTGGGATACAATGTGAACATCATTCGCTGACAATTATTCATTCCTTACCTTGAAATTCATCAGCAAGACCGAATGGCTCGTTTGAATGCGCCCCTCAAAAACCAATCAACGAATTGCCCCCCCAAAATTTGTCTTAAATGAATTAGCCCCGACAATACCAGTTTGTTGCAAAAAAAAGCAATGTGGCGCATATATATGCCACATCTTCATTACCACATAACCTTAAAGAGAATTCTTATAACTTTCTTCATTTTGCCTCCACTCTTGAGACTTCATTCCCATTCCTTCCTGAAGTTGTGATTTTGTTAGATGTACCATATTTTTGAATAAAAAAACTGGGCACAAAGAATCATACAATCACCAGAATAAAACACAGTACATGCAGCTGAATATGGAAATTTTAAGAAATTTCACCCAGTTTGTAGGCTTTATTTGAGGCCCCGAATATGGAGATTTTTTTTTTCTCTGTTACTATCAAAACAATCTGACTTCTTTTTGAAAGCTAAGACTACACAGTCTGGGCTGCAAAACCTCAAATGACCACTAGATGGTGACAATGAGACAATGTGGTCCTTTACTGCCACCTAATGATAGCCTGTATTTTGGCAGTCCAGATCCAGAAACCTTAATTGAAGTATATACAACAAAGTATTAGACAGTGCTCACTCCCAGTAACGAAAGACACACTGTGAGTTGTTCCTGGAAGCACACACAACAATCAGGCAAAGCCAACATTGCTGGTCATGCCTCAATGCAATCGGTTACAAAAGAAGCACAACATAAGTGTCACAAACAAGATACACTCTCACAAGTACACACATGCACACACCACAAAAAGATATTGGGTATCGGTTGTGATGAAGCCGTTGTAAAAGAAAAAGTGAGAGTGAGGAAGGTCAGCAAAGGTCAAAGAGAGCGGTTCGGTCATTTATCCAAAGCTGGAAAAAAAAACTGTATCTTTCTCTGCAGGTAGTCCTCGACTTACGACCACAATTAAGGCCAAAATTTCCCTTCCTAAGCAAGACAGTCAAATGAGTTTTCCTTCATTTTGCAACCTTTCTTGCCACTGTTCTAATGTGAATCACTGCAGTTGTTCAGGTAGTAACACAGTCGTTAAGCGAACCTGGCTTCCCCCTTAACTTTGCTTATCAGAAGGTCGCAAAAGGTGATCACGTGATCCCGGGACATTGCAACCGTCATAAATACATGCCAGTTGCTAAGTGTCCAAATTTTGATCACGTGACCACGGAGTTTCTCCAACGATCATAAGTTGGAAAAAGTTTCACAAGAAGTGGTGGGATTCAGCTGGTTTGCACCGGTTCAGGCAAACCGCTTGTTAAATTACCCACCCACCCTGTTATCGAAGTGGATCCTGGGCGCGGCGCTGCTATGGAGAAACAGGCAACGGCGTGGCCAGGGGAAGGAGAAGGCCACTTTCCCTCCTCTCTCCCCTACCCACCCTGCAGGGTCTCCACAGAACTTTGGGCTTTTCCCAACTTGGCCACTCAGTTTCCCCCAAAAAGGAGCCTAAAGCCTGGCAGTTGAAGCTACCAACACGAGGGGGACTGTTATAGCCTATAAACAAGGCCTACTTACCTGAAGCAACCTGTGGTTATTACCAGGGGTGGGCTTCAAAAATTTTAGCAAGGGGTTCTCTGCCCGGTTGCTGGATGGGCGTGGCCATGGTGGGTGTGGCCTAGTCGGCCTCCTGCACCATGGCGGGGAGGGGTATTTTCACCCTCCCCAGGCTCCAGAGGCTTTCCTTGAGCCTCAGGAAGGGCAAAAACAGCCTCCCAAGGCTCCAGAGGCCGTCTGGAGGCCGGAAATGGGTTTTTGCCCTCTCCAAGCCTCCGTGCATGGGAGGCTTGGAGAGGGCCCTGTACTTACCTGCATCCCAAACGGGCCACGTGGGGACTGCTGGGAGGAGAGGGGCAGGGTGGGCAGGGCCAGCCAGGAGTGGGATTTGGGGGTTCTCTGAACTGCACAGAATCTTAGCTAGAGGTTCTCCCGAAACCCTGCAAACCCCCAGCAGCCCTGGTTATTACTATTATTTTGACATGTGAAGTAATGGCTTTTGTTAACTATCAGACTCTTGGTGCTCTCTGAGATGGATGGTCTTGTGACAGACATTTCATTACCAGACTAGGTAACATCATCAGTGCTGCTTACCTAGACTGGTAATGAAACATCTGCCAGAAAACCATCCAGCTCAGAGACTCCAAAGACCTCACAGTTCAACCCTGAGCTACTCATAATTTCTTCTATTGGCCTTAACTATAATTTCAATATAAAAGAGGCATAATACAATTACTGGTTAAAACTGAGCTTAACAGCCTTGCCAATAGGCAGTTCGATCTTTTGATGGCCATGTGTCATTGGTTCACTTCTAAATGCAGGTAGTCCTCGACTTACAACGGTTCATTTAGTGACCGTTCGAAGTTACAACAGCACTGGAAAAAGTGACTTATGACTGTTTTTCACAGTTACAACCCTTGTAGCATCCCTATGGTTACCTGATCAAAATTCAGACACTTGGCAAATGGATCACATTTATGACTGTTGCTGTGGCCCAAGGTCATGTGATCAACTTTTGCAGCCTTCTGACAAGCAAAGTCAATGGGGAAGCCAGATTCACTTAACAACCTGGCTACCAATTTATGAACTGCAGTGATTCACTTAACAACTTTTTAATTTGTTCAGCCAAATTATTTAATTCGTTTTAATCTATTTTAAATTTTGTATGTATATGTTTTATTGTATGGCTGTTCACCGCCCTGAGTCCTTCGGGAGTAGGGCAGTATACAAATTCAATAAAATAAATAAATAAATAAACTGTGACAAGGTAAGTCGTAAAGTGGGGTAAAATTCACTTAACAAATATCTCACTTAACAACAGAAGCGTTGGGCTCAATTCCGGTCGTGAATCAAGGACTACCTGTATAGTAAGACAGACCTATTGTAATTGAACAAGACAACCTCCCTTCTATTGTCTGGTTACAGGTGTCTGCAAACTTTGACAATTTAAGATCTGTGGACATCAACTCCCAGAATTCCTCAAGCAGCCATGTTGGCTGAGGAATTCTGGGAGTTGAAGTCCACAAGTCTATAAGTTGCCAAGTTTGCAGACTCCTGGGCTGGAACATTTAACCCAGGGGTGAAATGCTACCGGTTCGGACCGGTTAAGCTGAACCGGTAGCGATGGTGGCGTGTGGTTTGGAGAATTGGTAGCAGCGGCAGCGCGAGGCTCCGCCTGGACATCGTTACTTCTTGATTTTAACCAGGAGTAACCTGTTTTTGACCTTCGGTGCATGCACAGAAGGCTTTGTGCATGTGCAGAGAGTCCAAGTGCGCACGTGATGCGTGTGAGTGAAGCCAGCGCATACGCACGGAGCGTGCACTTCCGAACCGATAGGGAAGGTAAGTAGATTTCACCCCTGATTTAACCCCAGGTTTTTTTACACATGGCAACCTTAAGGATTCCCAGCCAACATGCTGAGAGTTGAACTCCACACATCTTAAACTTTCCAGATTTTTTTTTAAAAAAAGCACTGATTCAACCCAGGGACAATATCTTAAAAAGGACATCTGGTCAAAAGCCACAATGACGTCACAATGACATCTTCCTTATTATGGCATCTTCACACCAATTATACTAAAAGCCTGATTTGCATTATTTTATGTCCGGAGTCATACGGCTTTCCCTGCTGCTTTCAAATACAATCGTTTTGGTTGAGATAATATGCTGATGTTTCTCAGAGGCCAGGCTGTAAATTCTGGTTTACTGTTGTATAAGCATGCTGGCTGGGGAATTCAGGGAGGTGAAGTCCACCATATATATCTCAAAGCTGCTGAAGTTGAGAAACATTGCACTAGCGCCCTGAATTTAGCTGTCAAACCTCAGCTCCATTTTTAGCCCAGCTTAGCATTCATACAAACCAATATATCAGAAAGTATAGTTTGATGAGTTTTCTATTTCAGGAACATAGCGCGTGGCGGGGGCAGGGAGAGTGCTCAAAAGCTATTTAGCTCCATTTGGTTTTGAACAGGGATGTCAAAGGCCTACGGGCCACATCCAGCCTGCAGGATGCTTAGATCTGGCCGTCGGAGCCACTCTGGAAACAGCAAAGGACCAGCCTGTGGTACCTCTGCCAGCGAAAACGGAGCTCAGGAGGGCTGTGCATGGTCCACCCGAGCTCCGTTTTCGCTGGCACAGGGCTGCAAGCCATGCCACCCCCCCTCCCAAGGTCAAACATAGACAGTGTGTGTGCATGTTCTTGTAGGTGCAGATGGCTCAGCAGTTAAAGATGCTGGAAAGCTGACAGCCTGGGTTCGAGACCTGAGCACTGCATGACGGGGGGAATTCCCGTTCCTTGCTCCAGCTCCTTGTCCACCTAGCAGTTTTGAAAGCATGCAAAATGCAAGTAGATTAATAGGTACCATTTCAGTGGGAAGGTAACAGCGTTCCTTGCGCCTCGGCATATATACGGGAAATCTAGATCGATGGCTTAGAACAATTAATCAGTGGAACAACTTGACTCCAGAAGTTGTAAATGCTCCAACGCTGGAAGTTTTTAAGAAGAGATTAGATAACCATTTGTCTGAAGTGGTGTAGGGTTTCCTGCCTAAGCAGGGGGTTGGACTAGAAGACCTCCAAGGTCCCTTCCAACTCCATTATTCTATTTCTAATCTACTAGTGTGCAAGTCCTACGTTCAGTTAAAAGGTCTCCACTCACAAATACTGCACTTCCTGACCTCTTAACAAGTAATTGCAAAGAAATAATTATATCATTTGCATAATATATGACAGATCCCTGTCTCATTCCATCCCTCAGATGGGATGGGGAATTATTGTTTTCTTCTCAATAAATATATAGCACAGAGAGAGAGAGACAACTGCAGTGGATGGAGCAAGTGTACAACTGTAATGGCATGTGGGAAGGACCTTGGAAACAGGAGGAAAGCTGCAGCTAGGACAACAGTGGATAAGAGGCAGCTGAGCCTGCAGAGGCAATGGGGACATGGAAATATATCATAAGAAACCCTCCCTAGTTTCTTGGGCTGTAAAGGTGGGGGGGGAGGTACTTTCAGAGTTGCGAAATTCTGTTAATGCAACTTCGCAGTATAGTAGAGCTAATACCTCTGGGTGATCTGGGCACATCACAAGGCTGACCCGCTCAGTACAAAGTGGTTTAATATGCTAAGAGTGCATCCCACCAGACATTTAACCTAGTTACTTAATTAACTACTTTTCTAAGTGTTCTAAATACATTTCAACTGCCCAGTCAAACTCTTGTATGCCACAGAAGAATTAACAGGTTAAAAATAACTAAACTTTGGTGGGGTCCTTGGTGTTCTCTGAACTTGATTATTTTGTCACAGAAATTTTATTACCCAACTAGGTAACATCATCAGTGCTAGAAGGGAGTGGGATTTGTTTGCTGCTTATATACAAGTGGCTTGTCTTTGTTGGTGTGGGTGCTCCTGGTAGTTCCTCTATTAGACTGACAGGATACTTGTACATAAACAGAAAACAAATCCCACTTCCTTCTAGCACTGATGTTGTTACCTAGTTGGGTAATGAAATGTCTGCATGAAAACCACCAGCTCAGAGAGCATCAAGGATCCCACAGTTCAACCCTAAACTACAAATATTCCCTTCTGTTGGTATTAAGCTTAGGGTGGTGGCCACACAATTAACATCTAGTTAAGCCAGGGTGGGCTTCAAAAATTTTAGCAAGGAGTTCTCTGCCCAGTTGCTGGGTGGGCGTGGCCATGGTGGGTATGGCCTAGTCAGCCTCCTGCACCACAGCAAGAGAGGGGGCCTTTTTGTCCTCCCCAGGCTCCGGAGGCTTTCCTCGAGCCGCCGGGAGTGCAAAAACGGCCTCCCCAGACTCCGGAGGCCCTCTGGAGGCTGGAAACGGGCTCGTTTCCGGCCTTCCTGAACTTCCGGTGGGCCCATTTTTCGCCCTCCCCAAGCCTCCACGCACACCTGCACTTACCTGGATCCAAAACGGGCCACGTGGGGACTCTTGGGAGGGGCGGAGTGGGCGGGGCCAGGAGTGGGATTTGGGGGTTCTCCGAACTGCACAGAATCTTAGCTAGAGGTTCTCCCGAACCCCTGTGAACCCCCAGCAGCCGACTCCTGAGTTAAACATGTTGATGTAACGACAGTGAGTACACAGAGGAAGGAAACAAGACTTAAAGATCATGGATGGTGGTGGGAATAAAAAGGAAACGTGCAGTGGGGTAGAAAAGCCATCAGCTGAGAAAATATGGGAGACAATGAAGAGGGTTGTAGGAAGCACAGTTGTCTAAAGCAGGGGTCTCCAAAGTTGGCAACGTTAATACTTGCGAACTTCAACTCCCAGAATTCCTCATGCTGGCTGGGGAACTCTGAGAGTTGAAGTCCACAAGTCTTAAAATTGCCAAGTTTGGAGACCCCTAATCTAGACTGAAAATAATTTGGTTGCTAACGGAGCAACCACAATATCTGGTTGCAATATCTGTGTTTACATTGTGCCAGTGCCAGGCTAAATGGCGAAAATCAAGCATTCTTCTAATTTAGGGGGAAAAAACAATGACCAGGAATAGCTGAATAAATTCAAGATAATTCAAATATTTGCTGGGTTAAGCCAACTGAATTTCACCACGGTACTCACCTGCTGTCTTCTACAGTAACTTGAAAATATCTTTGCTTCATCTGTGGGTCAGAGGATGAGGTCAAAAAAATCAAGATGGCTTCCACAATGGCGTGATTGAAGCTTCCATCTTGATTTTTTTTTAACCATACCCTTCAGATACTTCTGCGGTCACAATGCCCAGCACAATTTGATATACATGTAAAAAAAATACACAACCCTTGGTTTGATGGTCTACACGAGGTGATTTTTGCCTTATTTTGTAGAGAAGGTTTGTCATTTAGGGAATCCCGTTTTTGCACGTAATACAGAAAAGGGGAGTGCGTTTCATTCCAAAACAGACTGGAAAAACAACGACAACGACAACGAGAGCCACAACGTGATACACACAGACACCCATTCACATGCACTGCATACCTGGAGGGACCATAGGTTTGTGGTTGTGAGCTTTCAAGTATTTTCAAAGAAGGAGAAGAAAAAAGGGGAGGAGGGAAAAAGAATAAAGAATATTTTGAGGTGAAATAGGGGGGACGGGGGGGAAAACAGAACAAGGAAAATTAGCATAGAAGCCAAGTCGATCCCATTGAGTAGGCAAACTTCACACATGAATCAGTCGATGAGTGTCAACGTGCCTTAAAGATTTGACAGACAGGTTATAAATATTTTGAATAAATTGATCAGCCATGACAAGTGCAAATTTGTGGTTCCAAAAATCTGAACCATAAATGATCATTTCTTCAGAGTCATAATTTCGAACCCAACTCAAAGAGTATTAAAATGTGTTACTGGATATACTAGGGGTGACGTGATAGCTGTGTTCCAATATTTGAGGGGATGTCACAAAAAAGAAGGGGTCAACCTATTCTCCAAAGCACCTGAAGGCAGGACAAGAAACAAGAGAGGGAAACTAATCAAGGAGAGAAGCAACCTAGAACTAAGGAGAAATTTCCTGACAGTGAAAACAATTGATCCATGGAACAGCTTGCCACCAGAGGTTATGGGTGCTCCAACACTGGAGGTTTTTAAGAAGGAAGTGGACAGCCACTTGTCTGATACAGGGTTTTCTGTTTGAGCACGAGATTGGACTAGAAGACCTCCTTCTAACTCTGTTATTCTATTGTGTAGATAGTCCGCGACTTACAACCATGATTGGGACCAGAATTTCTGTCCCTAAGCAAAACAGTAGCAATAGCACTTGGACGTATATACCGCTTCATAATGCTTTTACAGCCCTCTCTAAGCGGCTTACAGAGTCGGCATGTTGCCACCCCAACAATCTGGGTCCTCATTTTACCCACGTCGGAAGGATGGAAGGCTGAGTCGACCTTCAGCTGGTCAGGATCGAACTCCTGGAGTAAGCAGTGAGTCAGCCCGCAGTTCTGCATTCTAATCACTCCGCCACCACTGCTCTTCCAAAAATGGGGTGTTAAATAAATCATGCCCAATTTTATGACTTGTTTGCCATGGTTATTCAGAGAATCACTGCAATGAATTGAAGTGAATCTGGCTTCCTCCATTTTAATCATATGACCATGGGAGATGCTGCAATAGTTTTAAGTGTGAGGACCAGTTGTAACCAATTGTATCCTCAGTTGTTACCAACTGTTAACTTCAGTCGCTAAATGAATGGTTGTAGGTCAAGGATTAGCTGTATGGAGGACACGGTTCAAGGTTTTTTATTTATTTCTTAATTTTCTATTGTTTGCATTTATTAGTGCTTAATAAACATCATGTTGTCTGGGTATTTGATTTGCTTAACAATACAGAATTACATTCTTAATCTCCAACCCTTTTTTTCCAACCACTGGTAAAATAAATTCCATGTTTGATAATATTCTGTGTCTTCTTTCTGTTTAATTTTCAATGTAAGTCTATCTATTTCTGCACAATCTAGTATCTTCCTAATTATCTCTTCATCTGGCGGTGTTTCTTCAGTTTTCCAATATTGTGCGAATATAATCCTCGCTGAAGGTTCAAGCTTTTTAAACACCTACTGTATATATTGGGGAATGCTCTAACCAGGGATAGGTTCTACTTACCTTTACCACCAGTTCGCAACGGGATCGAACGCACCAAGCTTCTGCACATGCACAGATCGCCTATGATGACATCCGGGGTGATGGGCGGAGCCTCCCGCCGGTTTTACTACCGGTTCTCACGAACCGGTCCGAACCGGGGGCAACCCACCACTGGCCCTAGCCCTCAATGTCCTATTCAGTTTTCCGCAAAAATGGTTTTTTTCCCCAGTATCTTCCTCCTGCTCTTTTCATATCTATCTGTCAGTGAGACAGGGCTAAACATAGCTAGTTATTTTATTCCAGGAATAAGCCATGGAAAATAGATGAGGCCTAGTTACTCTATGAGACGGTGTGCAGAATTTACACTCATGACTTCAAATCCACCACACCTTGTCCTCCCCGAGAAGACTTGGTGTTCTCATTCCACCCACAATCTATATAACTGATGACAAATACATTCTCACTTTCCTTGCTCTTTTATTCAGATAAATCTACCGCGTCAGGCCGACCTCTTTTGGCCTCCGAGTCCCGCTAACTCCCACCTCAAATCAGTCACAAAATCCATGCTGGATGGCTGACACGTCTCTACACTCATCTCAAGATTTTAGAAACCTCTGACAACAGGACCGTAAAAATACAAGCCGAGCAAACCAACCTTCAATTATTCAAGGTGGAAATCCAACCATGTCTCCTAACCAAAAGATTGCTTACCTATGTTGAAGGCAGGACAAGAAGCAATGGATAGAAACTAATCACGGAGAGAAGCAACTTGGAACTAAGGAGAAACTTCCTGAGGAGGTTAGGAGCAGGAGGTTAGACTAGACGACCTTCAAGGTCCCTTCCAACTCTGTTATTTTGTGGTTGTTTTTTTCTATCTATCTATCTATCTATCTATCTATCTATCTATCTATCTATCTATCTATCTATCTATCTATCTATCTATCTATCTATCTATCTATTTATTGGTTCAATTTATATGCCGCCCTTCTCCGGAGACTCAGGACGGCTTACAATGCGTTAAGCAATAGCCTTCATACTTTTGTATATACCTGCTTAGTAGGGCTTTCGCCCCCCCCCAAGCGGTGTTCTTTTTTATATACAAAGTCAGCTTATTGCCCCCACAAACCGGGTCCTCATTTTACCTACCTCGGAAAGATGGAAGGCTGAGTCAACCTTGAGCCTGGTGAGATTTGAACTCGCAGTAATTGCAGGCATCTGGCAGCTAAGTGCTACATAACAGCACTTTAGTCCGCTGCTCCACCAAGGCTCTTCCTTTCCTGATAAGTCACAACAAACTAAGCCACTGACCCACATTGTGGCTGGGTTTGTTTCATGCATTAAATCAATTTTTTTTTTTAAAAAAAGTCACATTATGAAGGTGAAGGTTCGTTCTCTGAGATTGTGGGTTGGTTTCCAAATGTTTTATTACCAGGCTAGATAACATCTTCAGCAGAGTTTATGGGATGTCAGTGTTTTTCTGTTTATAAGGGCTTCAGATGTGGGTGTGTCAAGTGTTGTGATAGGTCAGCTGTGAGCAGGGGTGGGATACAGCCGGTTCAGAATGGTTCGGGCAAACCGGATGCTAATTTTACATCCGGTTCGCCAAACCGGTCATTGCGAGGATTGGCTGGCCCCGCCCCACCCCACCCCGCCCCTCCCAGGAGTCTCCACACAGCCGTGGAGGCTCTGGGAGGGTGAAAAACGGGCCTCCCAGAAATTTCAGAAATCTGGAAATGGGTCCGTTTCTGGCCTCTGGACGGCCTCCAGAGCCCGGAGGAGGCCGTTTTCACCCTCCCAAGGCTCGAGGACAGCCTCCGGAGCTTGGGGAGGGCAAAATGCCCCCCCGCCCACCATGGTGCAGGAGGCCAAGTAGGCCACGCCCACCCAACAACCGGACAGAGAACCAGTTGCTAAAATTTTTGAATCCCACCCCTGGCTGTGAGTCATCATTGATGTGATAAGGAGATTGCATCAGGTGGGGAGTCACTGGGAGGTGAACTGCTGGTGGGGGGGTTGCATGGGTTGGTTGAGGGTCGGTGCTACCCTCTGGTTGGCTTTGTAGTTGATTTGGATTCTGTGGGGTTCATAGGCTGGTTGTAGGCCAATGTGTCTGTTGATGGAATTGCTTGTGGTGTGCCAGGTTTCGATGAATTCATGAGCGTAGCGGGTGGCAGTGTGGCCGATGAATTTTGTGTTGCTCCCATCAAACTGGTGCTGTTTGGTGTCACTATATGGTTTAATCTGCAAGAGCCGGCCAATTTATCAACACTAATCACTGACAGGTGAGCATGTCTGCAGGTTAGAAACTGGTATGCTATAGTATGGTTTAGGTAGAACTCAAATCAATCCTGAAAATGAACCAACTATCAAGACAGAATAACTGTCTTGAACTGCAGAACTTGTTAGATAGGGTCCAATGTTCAAGTCTGACAAGATCCTTCTGGATCTTGAGCCTATCTTCCAAAGTGTTAGCAATTTTCCCCAACTTGGTGTCCCCTGCAAATTTGATGAGTTCCCCTTCTAACCCCTTATGTAGATGAAGATGAAACCCACGGACCTTCTGCCGATCTCCAGGCTGAAGGGTAGACAGGAGGATAGCAAGAAATATAAAGGTTGAGAAGACTTCATGATTTCTTTATTAGCCTCTCTGGACTAGAGCTGGGGGTCTCCAAATTTGGCAACCTTATTGTCAGGTTTCGAGGTCGTCTCAAATAAATTGCATTTCAAACAAAGTCTTTGAAGGAAAACTCCTATTTATTAAGCACGACATTCTAAAATCCGACTCCATCGAAGCCAACACTGACTTCCAGACCCCAAACCCTCCCTTTCCATTCCCCACTCCCCTGCACTCATTGGCCATCTTCCAAGTCATTCTACCCCTAATCTAACGCTCAAGCTCAAAGGAATTTCCTCCCTCCCATCCCATCTCCTAGGGGATATTATCTCCAGGGAAAATAAGTAGGTGAAAAGTCAAACGTCCCTTTCCAGACGCCTCCACTTCTTCTTCTTATGTCAGCACTAGAGTAAATGCAGCTTGAAGTGCTGACATCTATGCTGGCTGAGGAATTCTGGGAGTTGAAGTCCACAAGCCTTCAAGTCGCCAAGTTTGGAAACCCCTGGATTAGAGGAAGCATCAGTTGAGTATTAGATTTTCTCCCATCCAAGACTTCACAGCTGATGCTGGGTGAGGACTTCCATATCTCCAGAGGTGGTATTCAGCCGGTTCGTACAGGTTTGGGTGAACCAGTAGCAGAGATCGCGGGTGCTGCCCTGGCACTTTGCAATCCTATTTAGCCACATTTTTAAGGCCGGGCGCATACACGGAAGGCGCACACACAAGCAAAGCACATGCGCGGAAGGGCGGGCACATGTGCAGAAAGTGCACGCAAGTGAAAAGAGCGTGCACACATGCAACGAACCAGTGGTAGA